GCGAGCAATAATAACAAAACGATTCGACAACGTGCACCCAACCTCTCTAAATGCACACGCTCACGAGTGATAGTAATATGTCACAAAGGGGGTACATTTTGACGGCGACTTGCTCCTCCTTATCAACAAGCTCCTGAGCAGCAGGCAAAACAGCGACAATGTTGTCTTCGCCCACTCTAATTATTACAATAATACTAAAAAATATTATAATAATAATAAAAATTATTAAAATGACAGTGATAATGGCGACGATAATTATGATGACAATATAATGATGAGTATTATAATTAATCAAAAAAAAACACTATAGTTGATATTACAATAGCTTGTGTTGATGAAAATAATTCATTGAGATGAATAAGTTGCAAGATTTATTGATGATAATTGTTAGTTATATTAATTCAATAAATAATATTAAACAAAAAATTAAATTTATAATAATGAATTTTTAGCAATTTGAATCACGAATAAACGACAATAACGATAATGGTAAATTATACATTTTTATACACTAACGAAACATTAGAACAAACTATATTATATTTAACTATATGTATGATGTGTAGTAACACATGATAATAATAATAATCAAAGTGGTAATGGTAATTTGTATATCTTTAAGCAATTTTTTTTTTTTTACAAAATTTATAACGAGACATTAAAAACAAGTCACATTATACATATTTAATTATATATAAAATATGTAGTGTCAACAAATGATGACAACAACAACAATAATATTAACAATCAAAATGATAATGGTAATTTGTATATCTTTAAACATTTTATTTTTTACAAAATTTGTAATGAGATGTTAAAAACAAACCATATTATTTTAATTATGCGTGTGTGTGTGTGTATATATATATATAAACAAACAGTATGGAAATAGATGACGATGGAAACAATGATTATATTTATAATATTGAAATATTATTTTTCAGAAAACATTTTAATATTTAAAATAAATAGGTGGTGGCTTATTGAATATTGATGATGGAGATGATATCTTTGTAAAATTACAATATTAGAATTTATAACAATTTCTGGGAGAAAAAACTGTTAGTAATATAAATAATAAAATAAAAATATCTAGATAATATTGCGGCAAAAAAATTACAATAATTCCGACAGCTGCCACAATCACAGCAACAACAATAATAACGGATAACATTCAAAGCCTCATCAATTTTGAGAATAGCAATGTAAATAATGATATAAATTCAATAGATCAGTTTTTAGAACATTATAAACTTGACTAATTTTTTAGATAATAATTTCAATATATATTTATAACATTGATAATAAAATTGATATGAAGACCTTGAGCAATCATGTTTGCCAATTATTAGGCGTGTCAAAAAAATTCGTATCATTATTTAGAATATTTGGTACATGTTAGAGAATAATATGGATAGTCACATTGGATGAATTGGTCAATGCATCGATTAGTATAAAAACTTGTATCAATAATAACAGTTTTTAAATACTTTGCAACCAGACAATATTTTTATTATCGACGAAGAATATCTAATTTCTTTAATAAGCAATGATGTGACAATGTTGGTGACAATGACGATATTGATATCAACGATGATAATGATTTAATAGTAATGGAATTTTTTTTTTCATTTTAAAATTCCGGGATAAGCATTAAATAGTGTCCATAATCTGGGACCGCTGCAGAAATAGCAAAATATTTTATATTAATATGTAGTTTTTAAAAATTTACTAAATAAAAAACACCGAGTTTCTGGCTTATCTTTTTTAAATCAAAACAAAACAAATATTATTATTATTGGCTAAAACCATAACAGATCTTTCATTGAAAAAAGTGTATTTTTAACCGCTTTACAATCCTACCAAAAAAATAGTCAATAGTTTCAAAATTCAAATTATAATCATAAAATTACCAGAAAAATGGACGCCCAGATTTAGTAAAGTCTAACATTTCTTATGCTTTCAAAAACTACCATGCCTCTAAAGTTGGTGTCTACAACTGATTGAAATTCTGCAACCAGTTGCAACCTAGGTTTGAAACATCACAAATTGCACCTTCTTGGTTGCAAACACCAACTTTACATGCTTCAATAATTCTTGGTTTAAATTGCCACTTTTGACCTGTGATAGTTTATTAACCTATTAAAATTAATAAAATAATATCATTAACAATTTATAAATAAATTCACCTCTATTATATGCAACAATTACTGTTAGTTTTTTCTGTATATAAATAAAGTCAGTAGCTACCATTGTGAATAAATTTACATTTAATAATATTACTAATGAATATAAATTTTGCAAAAGTATTCTTTTTAATTATTTTATATATTTAAATGTACGGGTTTCATAATAGGACTCCGGTTTAATTTTTGATAGTAATAGTATGCATCATAGTAAAATTCAAATTACAAACGACTTCTAATCCCCATCTAATACCCTTGTTGTATAGTAACCACCACCAACTTTGATATATAACTTCTTTATCATATGTATCTGCTTTAAGAAAATTTAAAGCAGGTTGTTAATAAAACCGAAAATAATCTGACCTTCAAAGTCAAATTTTGCCTTTATATTCATATATGTAAAAATTTGTTTAGAGCGTCCAATCGCAAGTACAAGTAGAAATAGATGTAAATAATTATATTATTATGAACACTTATATGCAGTTTCGTTCGTATAGATATGTCTTTTGTAGTCTTTTAAATAAATAAATAGATATTAAAATTTTTCTTTTACAATTTATTCCTACGTAAATAATAGAACTATTAGATAATGTGAGCAAGCAACAATGATACCCAATTGCCAAAAAAGGAGAAGAGAAATGTAAAGAGACATTTAATAATATTATTAAAAGCGTCAACGAATTGTGATTTAAAATCAATATTAAATAACATCACTAAATATTTACTATAAATAAATTTTGAACATGACGCGCAATAGAATCCAGGCTTTTTTTTTGAATTTAAGATCACTCGAATTGATAGATTTGATAGATATTTAGTGAGATACAAAAATATATGGTAATAGATAAAGAAATATTGCAATTTTTTTGAATTTTGAAAAATCTACTAAATACTTATGTCATTTTCATTTTTACGTCAATTAAAGCATTAAACTCGCCTATTAAAAAATTCAAGTGTATTTTACAAACTTTCTTTCCAAGCTTCATGGGTTTTTTCTAGCGTTGGTTAATAATTTTTAGAGAGATTCACAAAAAACCAGTTTATAAACCAAATTATATTGAAGACAGTAATGGCAATATGTAATATTTACCTTTGTATATATTTTTATTTTATTAATCAATATTATTTCTATATTTGGGAATGCAATAAATGATTAAATTAAAAGGTATTTACTTATTAGTGATTCTGACTTTATCAAATATTGGATTTGATAGTGATGCTATTACATTGCACAATTTAATACATGCCGATCTATAATTTATGTATACAAATTTACAAAAAATACAAATAACATTAATCATCATAAGAAAATAATCAATAGCCAGAATCCTGAATCATTTTTTAATTATAGAAATTTAAAATGACAAAACGTCCCACTTTAATTGTGGAATCTTTAGGTGAAATAAAGCCACATTCACGTTATGGGCTAAATGCAAGAGAATGGTGAGTAAAAATGAGATACAACTAAATTGATTTACTACCTATATTGAGGTCTTTGAAGCATTGTAATTTAGTAATTTATAATTTATTATCATCATAATTATCATACATTTGCTTTGGTGTTATTAACTCTATTAAATCTATTATATTTAAATACAATAGTTTAAAGAAAGATAATAAATATAACGGTTGATTTATAATGAGCAGGTATAAGGTTTTGAATAATATAATTAGAATTATTATTTTAAAATCATCAATTATCTAAAACATATTAATGGAGTATAAATGTATTGAATTTAATACGATAATGTTTTTTTAAATTTTTTCTATTCCAAAAAAAGTAGAAGATAAAAAGAATTGTCACGCGGCCATTATTATTAAATTCTTTCTTTGTACAGTATGTTAGTTATTATTTATTTGTAAAGTATAAATTTTAAAACAATAATTTTTAATTTTAATTTTTGAATTATTGATCAAAAATTAATGTTCATAGTAAAAAATGCTTCTTTTATAAACCCGTCAGCTAGAATTTGAGATAAATGCCATGTAATGAGGAAAAAAAATTAGATGGTCAGTGTCCTCCTTTAACAGTGGAGATAATACTTCGCATACATACGAGCCTTCATTTATTGGATTGATGTATGCTTTGTATTTTGGTGATGCCCACACGTCAGCTCTAAAAAAAATATTTATTAGTTTCTATTATAGTCCAAAAAAAAAAAATCAGTAAATAATTTCATTATTTACACTTAATTTTTTAATATTTTCTGGTAGTTTTAGATCCAAGATTACATAAACGACTATCGTCTCACCCTCAAATTCCGTCAACCAATTTAGAACTTTATCAGATCTTGTAATAGGTTAATAAGTTAACCTGCAAATGTTCTAGCATTTGCTTTGTTGTTCACAATCAGCATTCCAAATTCTGTGACACATTGGTAGGCGCAGGTAATGTATTCTGAAGTTTTATCTTTCCTACTGTTAAAGATGGGAACTGCAATTAGCCGCAATTCAATTTTATATGTTGCAACTAGTTGTAATTAATTGAGGAGCCATCTTTAACTGTCGTACGAAAACATCTTAGGTACTTTTTGTTCCTCGATGGCAAATTTTTTGATTGATTTCTGGAAAACTTTGCGATCTCCTTCAAGCAAATTGTTTAAAATTAATATTAATATCCAGTATTCCGGAACATAAAGGATGATCGTATCCAAGATTTTCTACATGACATTTTGAAGTTCATTTTTTCCACATAGCCTTTTCACGTCCCATCTATAATGTTGTTATATTTGTTATTACAGTGAATATGTAAGGATTTTTGTAAAAAAAAAACAATAATATAATTGCACAGATCGGAAAGGCTTCCATTTTTATTTATTTTTTGAATGCCAAACTGGCAAGTAAATTTAACCTCAGTGGAATTCGCATATCATATGTATCACAAGGAGCTACTTGTAGATGGCCTATAGCGATTTCATGTACACTTCACCAATTGTGTATGCATATGTTTCAACCACTGAAGCCATTGCAAATATGCAATAGAGAAGCTAAAACATCATGTCAATATAACAATTACTAAAATTATGTGACTTACTCGTTGGTCCAAAGCATCCCCCTGGCCAAATTTGAGAAGTCTATTTCGCCGTCCGATATTTCTGGATACATTAAGTATTGTTGTGAAATTCTCCATTTCACAATCACCAGTTCGCAAACCTGATTCTATCCGCTTGTACAATGCACCTGCGATACTCACGCCAGATTATATGAAATGTAGGTTTCAATTAAAGAATAGAAAGGTATTATTTTTTGCATAACATGTATCAACCGACATCTTGTATTGCGTAAACAATGTAAATGTCAATCGTTACTATTACAATATTTATTGTTACATTATTATTGTCAAAACTAATTTTTATTGGCTGATCCAAATTTGGAAAGCATTTTTTTAAAATTTCCACAAACGAGAATATTAATGTCAAAAAAATAGCTTTTACTAATAATGATGTACAACAACAAAGTGTTCACTCAGTTCAAAAAGTAACTTCTACTAATGATGTATGACGAAACTTTTGACTTTAGTCATTGACGTAACTAAAGTATTGACTAAAGGTAGTTTCTCACCAGGGCCATTTTGACAGTAAAAACACTTGACGTGAATTAAAATGCATTATACAAGTAAAAACGCTCGATATAATGGTAATTTGGGATCTGAGGTAAAGGCTCCACAAGTTTTTGGTCATTTTAATTGATCCAAAACATCAGAGCAAGACGAAGACCTAATGGTAGGCAGCGGTAGACACCACGAAAAAACATCTAAAGCGAAACACAATTTCCTTTCAGTTAAGTAACTGCTCCGCTCAACCCTGACGTTTTGAACAAAATAGATAATTTTTTGCTTGTCAAATAAATATTTTTGTTCAAATTTCAATTTTAACAAATTAATTTCGAGCCAGCGTACTAAAAAAAAAGAAAAAAACGACTTCATCACAAAGTTTTACCTTTTGATTGTGACCCCAGCAATTCAGTTTACTAAAGTTGAGCAACAAAATGTTTAGAAAATTCGTGATTTTGTTACCGTAACTGCACTGGATTTACCGTTTCAAGTCTTCTTTATATATAACAGAATGTTTCCCGTGCATTCAAATTTGGGTAAAATTGTTAGGAAGCATTAAAAAAAAAAGAAATATTACACAAAATATAAAAATCTACATAAAAATTACGACATTTAGAAAGGAACCGTATGTAACACGGCAACTTTCATTAAACACCCAAGTCGAATTTTATATTTTATATTTTGTAATGTCGCATGCTAAACTATTATCATCATTATCACCAGAAAGAAAAAATTTTGTACGTAAAATTAATAGTGAAATATTTAATAATGCTAATGCTAATGGTGATAGAGAAATTGAAAAGGATTATTTTTTTTCATTAGTCAAGAAAAACAAGGAGCCTTCTGAAAATGAAAAAGAATTTTGTAAGGAAAAGTTTATTTATGAGTTTGAATTAGAAAATGCAAGAGATGAATGGGGCAAACCAAAAGAATGTAACGAGTGTAAATTTACAAGATACTCTGATAGGTTCTGTGAAGGTTGTATTAAATTACAATTACAGAGTCTTTTCACCACTTGGACATCTGGAAATAACATAATTGATGATTTTATTCAACAATGTCAAATAAAATCATCTCTGCCAAACTATATTTTAGAATGGATGCCTTTTAAGCAATTTAAAAAAGTAACAAAGTTGACAGAAGGTGGATTTAGTTCAATTTATAAAGCTACATGGACAAGAGGAAATATTATTGATTATGACGAAAATAAAAATGAATTTAGTTATTTTGGAGGTAGAGGGTTACTAGTAGTATTAAAAAGTTTAAACAATTCAAGTAATCCAGGAAAAGCCTTTTTTGATGAGGTTGGTAGTTGTCATTTAAAATAAACAATGCTGTATTATATAATACTAATTGATTTTATATTCAATAGGCAATAAATTATTGTAAAATTAAATCGGGGATGATTGTTCAATGCTTTGGTATAACTAAATTCCCAGATAATGGAAATTATGCAATTGTTTTAGCTTATGCTCCAGAAGGAAATTTAAGGGATTATTTACAAAAAAATCATTTAAATTTTACATTAAAAGACAGAATTATAATCTTTTATTATTTATGTTTTGCATTAAATGATATACATGAAAAAGATTTAATCCATTGTGATTTACATAGTGGTAATATACTTGTGCAAGGAAGTAATTGTTATATTACAGATTTAGGATTATGTGGACCAGTTGATGATGAATCATCAAATAAAGTCTATGGAATTGTATCATATGTTGCACCTGAGCTACTTAGAGGCAAAATTAATATAAAGAACACCAAAGAATCGGATATCTATAGTGTTGGGATGTTAATGTGGGAAATATTTGCAGGACATCCACCATTTGATGATAGAGCTCACAATCATCGTTTGATTTTTGATATATGTGAAGGTTTACGACCACCAATACTACCTGGAATGCCTAATGATTATGTGCAAATGATGCAGAAGTGTTGGGATGTGGATCCATCAAAAAGACCAACTAGTAGAGAGCTTGCTATTTTTGCTACAAATAGACGTAACGAAATCATTAAAAATAATAATGATGATAATAGTAATAATACTACTGGTAGTAGTAGTACTTCGCAACAGGCATACAAATCACATCCAGATGCGTATCATACAAGTAGAATATTAGATGAAGAGATTGCTAAATCAAAAAGCTTAAAAGTTTATAACAAGTAATCACAGTTCGTTAAATGATATTGATTTTAATTCTTTTCTCTAAAATGTGAATAAAAATTTCATTATTAATTAATTGGAAATTACTATATATCCATATTAATTAATTAATTAGTAAACATTATATTTAACAATAGTAAAAGAAAAGATGCAATGAATGACTAATTTAATCTCCGCTATAAATTTATTGTTTTATTTTTATTTCATCCTTATTTTATTTCTTATTTTATAACAATATTTTGAAATAATTTTTTGATTATTGTAAAATGGTGATATTGTAAGGTATCATTTTGGTTAATCAACAAATATGGGTTAACTTTTGGGCTACTCTTGTCAGTTAATTCAATGCTTGTCAATTAATTAATTTACGAATTTATTTTGGTTCTTTCTTGAACCTAGACGAATCTGTAAGCACATTAATGACACCAAATAAATAAATTATGACCTTTTGCAATACTTTCAGTTGTTTACATTTATTGGTTTATTGCAAGCTTGCTTTGATTTGCTTGCAAAACAACTTAATTAGCTTGTTTAACGGCCTTACATTTACGATTACAATAATACTACTTCATTAACACCCACTAGTTAACCAACATTAGTTCAAACCTTTGCTTACTCACTAAAGCAAATTACGTTACTAATCATTGTTAGCACTCACTAGTTAATCAACGTTAGTCCTAACCTTGCTTACTTGTTTACTAAAGCAAATAAACGTGGCCTTTTACCAATTGTTACCTTTTACCAAGGCACCAACTACACTTGCTGCTTTTATCAAAGTGCTTTAAACAAAGAAAATAAAGACAATGCTTTTATTTTTGTTTTCATTTTTAAAAGTTTATTGAATAATGATTATCAGAGTTTTATTTTATTGGAATGTTAATTATCTATTTTTTTTCTCTGCGAGGAACTTTTTCAACCAAAGACCAGAATTTATCTTTAATGAAATTTTCATTGATCACTATAATAAGGATAAAGATAAAGATGGGTCTATTATTGCAAACTAATTCATGATTATTTACATAGCAATTTGATAATAATTATAAAAGCTTTGACATAAAATTCATACACTAAAATTAGTCAACCCTGGAACATAAAGTACCGAATTCCTAGCCGATGTTTTTATCTACTCCGATTATGTATCACGTTATTAATATAGAAAATGTTCGAGTTTAATAGCAAATGTGTGTGTGGAAATTGAACTTTTGTATTCAGCAAAAGAAAAACTTGGTTCCTTGGGAACAACTAATGAAACAAAGAAGAGATTGGGATACTTAAAAAAAGACCTTGGAATATATATTTATAAGTTTTTTTTTAGCAATTTTGACTTAATGGCAGTAATTTGACGTAACAGTTTTATAACTATGGCAACATTTCGTCAAACAACATTAGTTCTGAGCATCAAAATTAGCTCTAGATGAGAAGCATTGCATCCTATCATGCATTCATGATCAATGATGCATTCTTTAATATTTATAATTTATAATATTTATAATTTATTACAATTTAATATTTATAATTTATAACATTTATAATTTATTTAATACAATTTAATATTTATAATTTATAATATTTATAATTTATTTAATACAATTTAATATTTATAATTTATTTGATATTTGATACATATATCAATATCTAATATTCAATATCTTTCATTCATTAGATAAGATAAGAACTATGTAATAATTCAATATATCAAGTAGTGAGTAAATGATACATTCATTGGTTTTCAACGTTATAGGATATGCTGTCTCAAACCATATGTGTACTTTATTACATAGTAATTATAGCAAGAGCTTTCGCCTAATGTTTTTGCTGAATTATTTATTACCAATTACAAATAAAAATTATTGCTAAGAATCTATTTGTATTGTCTTGAAAGCAATATTAAAAAGTTTAATAATGATCGGCATATTACAATCGATTTCTTTATGGATCAACCAATCGCAGATAAAGCCCGCTATGTTATTTTATGGCACATATAATTGTGAAATGAAGTTATGTTCCACTCTTCAAAGTTTGCATTAAAATATGAGAGAGCATTTCTGTAGAGTTTTTTTTGGTGAAATATCAAATCCCTTCCATTCCTTTTTGGATAAGTGAAATTTTGTTCATTATTGCTATCATTGGTTATTTCTGTTAAAGCTTGATTTCGCAAAGAAAGATCATGCCTGTTACTATTGTGAGGTTTCAAAAATTTTACAAAAGTGCAGGGCGCAGAAAGAAATTAATATTACTATATATATATATATATAACTAGAGTAACGACGAGTGGCGGGCGATAACCACCACCACCATCCTTATTCTTAAAATACTTACACATTTTCTTCTCTTCTCTCAGTTTCTTGTCTTCTTTTTTTTTAATTGCGTTTTTTTCATTTTTTT